TTTTTTAAGGACTCTATCCTTTTTCTCCCCCGCCCCCAAGCCTACGTGTATTTTTAAACACACTGTAAAAACTTTATTGGATTTTCTTCATCTGAATCTGTCTTTACTGTGCATCTCTATCTTTTTCTGATCATGAGTCTTTAATCGGCTAAACAGCATGGCTAGGATTAAATCGGTGGCTGGTCCTGCCCTGCTCCTTGGCTTTCGGAGAGTCTAGGCTTCAGGGTGGAGCTTCTAGGTTCAGGTCACCACTGAGAGGCATGCTGCCAGCTGCTGGTAACCACTATTTAATTGTTTGGTAGCAGGACCTCTTAAAAGACCCGGGAGGTTTTTGCTGCGAATGCTGAGTCAGGAAGCCTCTCTTAAAGGAGCCAAGCTTCTGCTTGCCTCTAGCAAACAGAGCCCACCTGAGAAAACGCTGCTACCGAGAAGCCAGGTTTGCCTCTGTTCTTTTGTGTTTAGAATCCGTTTTTAAACTTTCGTCGGGTTTTACGTGGAAATTATTGCCCCATGTTGGGGCCACCATTTGTTATCTTTGGGGTGTTGCACCCTCCCCCATGGGGTCTGCTGACCAGCGTGTGACTAGGAGCTTCCAACAAAACACCTCTTGTCCCCTCCTCCCAGTAAGGCCTGTATGCAATTCCTGTTTTCTGTCCATCCTTATTGTCTAAATGCTAATTCCTGTTTTTGGTCCACCCTTTGCTGGAGGGCCCTGGGAACGTTGGCTTCTGACCTTGGTGGTTTTCCACCATGCCTGCCTTTGGTGTATAAGGCTCCACTCTTGTTAAAATAAACGCCATTCTCCTTGTAAGAATGAGCTGCTGTCTTCATTACACCCTTAGCCCTTCCCTTGGATTGTTGGGAAGTGTTGTAGCCCCGTAACTGGGAACACGGGCTCGCTACACTGGGACTTCCTGGTTATCGGTTAGTGCCCTTCCTCTCTATCTTGGCTGGCTTGGGGTGGGTTACTTCCTGTTCCAACCAACTGAATCCCTGCGTAATTTCACAAAGGCAGGCAGATATGAAAGACTCAGTCCCACAATGTCTTCTGTGACAGTAACAGTTTATTTCTAAAACTTTTCATAGATTTCAAACTCTAAAATGCGCCAAAGCCCAGCAATGTTCATTTAGTTTGACGCCAGCCATCATTTGGGGACACAATGCCACCAAACTGACATTTGACCCCTTAGAGCCTTTGAGAGGTTAAGCTTATTTTAAGTTTTGACAAAATGATGCAGGAAGGGGACCAGGGAGACGGCTAGGCAGTGTAAACACTTCCGTTCTTCCTTGGGACCTGGGTTAAATTCCCGGCACTCCCATGGCCCATTGCAACATCTGGAACTCCAGTTCCAGGGAATCTGATCTTCTCTGGCCTCTGGGAGCCCTGTATGCGTGTGGCGGATTTACACACAGTCAAAACATCCGCACACATAAAAAAAAAAAGTTTTGCCAGCCTGGTCTACAGAGCGAGTTCCAGGACAGCCTCCAAAGCCACAGAGAAACCCTGTCTCGAAAAAACCAAAAAAAAAAAAAAAGTTTTAAAAAATGGTTTTAATTTTGTGGGGATACCCAGACCTTGCCAGTGGGATTATGTAATGTACGTACCTCTGCAGTATGATCACTATAATCTCCCAAGCAATCTATGCTGGGGCTTCGGGAGGCTGAGATGCTGAGTCCCTGGAGACATCCGTCCTTGTTACCATGCTTAGGAGTCAGTACCCCTGGCTTTCAGCTTACGTTCAATTGTGCTTTGTTTGTAACTCAGCACAGGTGTTTCTAATTGTGCTTGGAATGGGTCTGTTCTGGGTCCCTGGTGACCCAGCCCTGTTTGGCAGCATTTCTGAGCCTGTTCCTTTGGACTGAGTCCAGTTCCTGATTGAGACAATGTAAATATCATGCACCCGGGTTCACCAGCTTCGTCTTGACCTTGGGAATGCTATGGTTATTTTACAGGGTGTGGTGACATTTATGGGCCTTCTTGGACACCCACAAAGAGGTGGACTTCCATAGATTAAATGTCAAGTTTGCAGCGGTCCTGGGTAATTGAATCCTGGAGTGCTGTCTGCTTCAATTTTCAACTGGGCCATTGACTTGGGGCTTGTGTCTCGTTAGATGCTGGCGAGCACAGGGTAGATTGTTTTGTGCCAGAGGTCAGCCTGGAGCCCAGGAGGAGAGGGTGGGGAAAGACGATGGAGCAGTGAAACAAGACACCCAGAGGACATCTCGAGTTTGCTCTATAAATCAAAAGCACATACGTGGCTAGTTGATGAATAAGTTATTGCAGACAGACAGTATGCTGGCTCGCTTTATGTCATTTGAGAGGAGAACACCTCAGTTGAGAAAATGTCTCCATAAAGTCCAGCTGTAGGTGAGCCTTGGGGGCATTTTCTTATTGACTGATGAGGGACGGCCACAGGGAACCACTGTGGGTGGTACCACCCCTGGGTTGGTGCTCCTAGGTGCTATTAAGAGGTTGAGCAAGCCATGGGAGCAAGCCAGTAAGCAGCACTCCTCCATGGTCTCTCTGCCTTAGCTTCTGCCCCCAGGCTCCTGCCCTGTTTGAGTTCCCGCTTTTGCTTTCCGCAGCACGCTGTGACCCAGGATGCGGAAGCCAAATCAACGCTCTCCTCCCCAGGCTGCCTTTGGTCACGGTGCTTACCAAAGCAATGGAAACCCTAAGGCAGACAGCTCCTACCACTGCAAGGGTTTCTCAGATGTTAGCTAAATATATCTTTTTTGGGGGTGGGTGGGTGGGTGGATTACAGATCAACCCCTAGTGTCTTTTCTCGGGCCTAAAAAAGCCATGGCATTCCCAGCTATGACTCTGACAGCATACATGGTGCGTGATGACCGTGGCCACCATACTCAGCGGTGGGAGTCACCACCCCAAAGGGCTGTGCTCTTGAGAAACCTCCCTTGCAGGCTGGGAAACTCACGAAATGCCATACCTTGGGGCTGGAGGAGGGATGTTCAAAGACAGAGCAATTTGGACCACACGGAGCCGGGATGAGGTTCCCGTTAGGATGCCTGGGCCTGGCTCCAAGAGGCTGCCTCTGGGGAGTCAGCACTGTAGGAGGAAGCTTAGAATTCCGCCATTATCCATGTGGCACTCTAAAGATGCACACAAATGTGGTAACGAAAGGGCGGAACTGCGCCGCTAACCACACCCACTTTGGGCATGACTACAGACAGGGCGGTGGAACTACGCCACTAGCCAGGCCCACTTTTGGGCGTGGCTAGGGGCGTGTACGGAGGAAGGAATAAAAGACTGAACAGCAGAACGCTCTCTCTGCTCTCTTTCGGCTTCCAGTTCGGTGGTGGGAAACGACTCGACTCACCTGGGTTGCTCGCTTTTCTCTCGTAATTTCTACAATAAACTGTTACCTATGCCCTCAACAAGTGTGCCGTTTATCGTTACAGCACCATGACGGTCAGATAGCTGCTGGCTCCAATGGCCACCTGGAGGCTCTCAGAGAGAGCAGAGTCCCCATGCGGCAGGGGCTCGTCTGCTGGGGCTCCCAGCCCTGATCGTAGGGGATGCCGTGGTACTGAGGGCATTCCTTCCCCTGGTGTCTGTGCCTATGAGGCACGAGAGCTGTTTTGGGGAGTGGCAGAGGGGTGGAGGGATGAAGGCCCATGCTCAGGACTGGGACAGGTCCTCGAATCTCCCAAAGAGGAGCGACTCCGGGCTTTAGCAACGGCTCCACCAAGTGAAGGCTCTCCCTGCCCGTCAGCCAGTCACGGAAGACTACTCCTTCCTGCCCGCAGTTTAGACGGAAGATGCGTCTCATTGTGGAGCTGATGACTGACCACATGTGGCCACCCTGAAGAAGCCGCAGATGGCGCACCGCCAGGACCCGGGCTGTGGCTGGGTTGCTTGCTTAGCGTGTGCGAGGCCCTGGGCACTGCGGAAGCCCGCTTCGGTATTTTACATCTATGACCCTAGCACTTGGGAGGTGGAGGCAGGAGGACCAGACGTTCAAGGCCTTCTTCAGCTCTCTGTTGGTTCCATGCCAGCCTGGGCTACGCAAACCCCTATCTTGGGGTCAGCAGAGACCAGGAACAAGCTCCCACAGTGTCCCCAAGATCCGCCTGACCGTTGCTGAGGGTGCAGGTCGTGATGCCCCATCTGGTGATGCTCCTCCTCTCTCCCACCTGCTGCTGGGGGACCAGGTGCTGAGTTGCAGATCTGAGCGGGGGGGGGAGGGCAGAAAGAAGCTGTTAGCTGAGGTACAGATGCCCACAAGGTGAGAACAGCCAACAGCCGGGGATCTGGGTTGGGAGGCCAGGCCATGGGGGGGGGGGTAGTGTTAGTGTCAGGTGTGCTCAGCCAACTCAGGAAGGGACTTCTGGAAAACCACTTGGTGGCCTTGGCCTCGATTCTGCCCTTGACTCTGGACTGTCTGAAGACATCCCAACTATCTCATTCCTTCTGAAGAGGAGCTGGTGTCTGGGCCCAGGAGCCCTGGGCCAGTAATTCACCATCAGCAGGAGGGTGGGACAGGCCACGGAAGCCACACGGGTTTTCACAGGCGGTCCCTGGGGACAGGGCAGAGGGTCGTGTGCAGGCTAGGCAGGCTCACGGACCTACCTCTAGCCTTCTTTTTATGTTTTATGTTCAGGACGGGTCATCCTGGGTTTCCCAGATTACCCAGATCACTCTGCTCCTCTTTGAACCTGTGTGTGATGACAGGTCTGTCCCTCTGTGGCTGAAGCTGGACAGCCGACTCAAAGTGTGTCCTTTTTTGAGACAAGATCCCACACAACTCAGGCTTCGCTTCACCCTTGATGGTATGTCAAGGATGCCCCTGGGCTTGTTTCTTCCGCCTCCATCTCCCAAGTGCTGTGGCGATTGGTGCCAAGGCCTCAGTTTCTGAGGTGTTGAAGCTTCCCGCGTGTACGCAAGCCACCTACCAGCTTAAGAGTTAAATCGTTGTTTTCCAAAGCCGCGGTTAGGGATTCCCACGGCATCAGCAAGCATACAAACAAGCAAACAAACAAACAAGCAAACCGGGGTATCTATTTTGACGTTACTTTAGCCAAGAGTCTTCTTGGAAGCGCCAGTAACTGTGGTTCTTCGGCACGTGCGCCCCTTGAGATGAGCAGGGAGCTGTCCTCAGAGAGGCTCCCCCAGGCGCGGGGCACACCCAGCCGGTGAAGCAGGGGCTGGTGGCGGCTCAGTGCACGCCTTGCTCAGGCCAGTGCAGCTCTCTGGCGTAAGCCCCTTTGCAGCTGCGAATCTCTGTGTCGTGCTCCAGGCACTTGTTCAGGCCCGGCACCCCAGATCGCCATCCGATGAAGCCCTGGGTGGTCTTCGGGACTGGAGGCGATGGAAGGATCTGAAGTAGACACGCAAGGGGTTAGTCACGGGGCAGGCTCCTTCCTGCCCACAGTGCTGACGGGAGGGGGCATGCATTTCACTGTGGGGCAAATGGCCACACAGGCCGCACGAGCGTCTACAAGGTGCCCATGGTGCCACATGGGGGTCTAGCATGGAGAAGGCAGAAAATCCAACACTAAGCAGTGTGTGTGTGTGTGTGTGTGTGTGTGTGTGTGTGTGTGTGTGTGTAGGCTGGAGTTTTGACTTTCTTGGCTGCTCATTACGTTTCTTTCAGTTTCTTTGGTAACACGCTCACCAAAAGCAACCTGAGGAGGAAGAAACAGCAGCACGCTGAGGTGGAAAACTACAGAGGAACGTTGTTTGGTGGCTCGCTCACAGTGTCTTGTTTCAGTGTCTTTGTAGAAAGCCCAGGGCCACTTGCCTAGGGATGGCGCCGCCCACAGTGGACTGAGGCCTCTAACATCAGCTGGCATTCAAGAAAACCTCTCATAACCGCGTCCATAGGCTAATCTGATCTAAACTGTCCTCTCAGATGGCTGCAGGCCGTGTCAAGTTTAGTTAGGGTCTCTATTCCTGTGATAAAACACCATGATCAAAATCAAGTAGGGGATGTTAGGGTTTGTTTCCTCTTAGAGCAGCGTGTAGGTCATCACTCAGGGAGGTGAGGGCAGGAACCTGGAGACAGGAGCTGATGCAGAGGCCGTGGGGGGTGGTGTGCCGCTCACTGGCTTGCTCCCGGTGGCTTGCTCAGCCCAGGACCACGGTAGCACCACCACCCACAACGGGCTGGGCCCTCCCACGTCAATCGGTAATTTAGAAAACACACTGCAGATTTGCCCACTCACAAGTCTTCTGGAGGCATTTTCTCAACTGACAATCCCCTTTCCCAAATGACCTCAGCCGTGCCAAGTTGCTGTCAAACTAGCCTGACTAGCACGTGTCCCCTCCTCGCCCTGTGGAATCTGTAGCTCACTGGTTCAGACAGACAGGCTGCTCTGTGAAGCCCAGGGATTTGAGTGGGAGCAGCCTGCAGGCGATGGTGACCCTTTGGAGCACTGCCCGCCCGCTGCGTTCCCTGAGGTTTTCAGGTGAGGACACCCTTCTTGCCAGCCTCTATGATTGCTCACCCAGCACCCGGTGATGGCTGACAGTCACCACCCTCTGAGAAGTGCTGATTCCTGTCCCCAGTCCTTCAAGCACACTATCCCACAGAGCCCCCCACTCCCCAAAGTGTCTCAGTAACCCTGAGATACAGTGACCAGGGAGGAAATGGAGACACGGATTCCAGGCCACTTGTTCAAGACAACACAGGAGCTGAACAGCAGAGTGGGGGTCCAGGCTCGGGTCTCACTGTAAATTGTGGGCCACACTTTCTTTCCTGCTCCTGTGTGTGTGTGTGTGTGTGTGTGTGTGTGCATGCATGTGCGTTTGTGTTTATATGCAGGTGTGTGTGCATGTTCTGTGTGTTTATATGTGCATGTTTAGAAATAACCGTGTGTGTTTCTCTGTGTGTGCATGTATGCTTGTGTTTATGTGTGTGTGCATCACTCACATGTACATGAAGGTCTCTTACCCATGAGGTTCCCGGCTTAGTTGCAGGGCTCTTGTGTGTGCCCAGCATGGCCACGTCCGCACCTCTAGTGGCTGGACAAACCAGTTTGCAGTAGGACTTATTCCTTTCTTAGAAAATAAGTGTGCAAGCAGCCTGACAAACCTTGATGTATTTGTCCAAGGGGCTCACCGGCCGGACACGGAAGTGACTGGGCAGCTCTATCTTGGGCTTTGGAGTATGAGGCTCTTCTTCACCTTCCAGCAGCTGAAAGGAAATCCCAGAGACAAGAGCCTCAGGCTGAGGCCCCAGGGCTAGGGTCCTTCATTCACCCCAGAAGGCCATGCGTGA